AATGTTAAGTTGTCCCTCTAAGGCAATTGGTTAAATACCCCGGCTTTATGGATTCAGCTAGCCAGATAATGACAAATTAAATCAAATTTATCTAAGAAATTTTTGGTAAAATGGACTAAGGGAGTTAAGGAACACCTGTTATAGTCACTACACACGAGCACTCAAGAATTTCATTTTTAGACCGATATTTTTTGCACTGCCTTTCCTGGAAGAGCCTACAAAGCTTGAACAAATGAAAGATTTCAGAGGACTGAGATAAAAGGTCTAGTAATTGATCATGCTAGTTGCGTCATTTTGTCCGCACCCAATTAAGTGCCAAACATGTTGCGATATTTTAAATGACGTTTTTACCAAAAACCTTAGAAATGAGGTCAACCTAAAGCCGACTTGTCCCTTTGAACATTTGTCAAAGATTTGTAACTCTGAAAGCATTAAAAGAGCTCTGATTCCTTTGATATTTTTTGAACTCACATTTACAATTTGATTCAATGCGAACAATACTTTACATTCTCTCTCCTGAAACAAGAAAAAGGAAAAAAACGTGTTCAACAGAACGATCTCAGATATGAAATGTCTGTAAAGCCCAAGCCCGAGAAGCAAATGGGGCACGATCGATTCCATGGACCAGATTGGCAGGCAAAGCACGAGACTCCATCCAAGAAATAACACATAATTTATTCATGTTGCATGCATCTTAGACATACTTAGGGCATCACATTCATCATTTTAGCATACATAATTTTGCAGCTGTCAGAGTCAAGCTTCGACTTCAGGATGAAGGTTACTCGACTTGCAAGCACCTTTAAAGGACGAGGGTGTAACTCAGCAGCAACACCTCAAGCGACTTTACATAACTACAGATCTCAATGGGTTCGAGAACCAATTCAGATCAAATCTAGTTCGGTTCAAATTCACCAGGAGCAACATGTTTTCAGTTAACACTTTCAAGCCAGATTTCAATTCCACGACAGAAGATATCCGGCTGTCAGAATTTATCAGTAGGTTTTCCCAGACCAGCTTAGGGGAACCAATGGAAGAATCATGACCGTTTTTCGACCCGTAAAGGGAAGTCATTTTTAAACAAACTATTTGCAGCTTGGCTCAAGGCCAGAAGGGCTATCTGCCACCAAGACCTTCGAGTTCGACTACGCTCAGCTCTAAGGCACATCATTTGCAGAATAGCTTAAGTCAAGAAGGGCTATCTGCCAAGACCCCCGAGTTCGATTACACTCAGCTTCGAGGGCACATCATTTACAGCATAACTCAAGGCTATAAGGGTTATCTGTGACACCAAGACCTTCGAGTTCGACTACGCTCAGCTCTAAGGCACATCATTTGCAGAATAGCTTAAGTCGAGAAGGGCTATCTGCCAAAGACCCCCGAGTTCGATTACACTCAGCTTCGAGGGCACATCATTTACAGCATAACTCAAGGCTAGAAGGGTTATCTGTGACCACCAAGACCTTTGAGTTCGACTACGCTCAGCTCCAAGGCACATCATTTGCAGAATAGCTTAAGTCGAGAAGGGCTATCTGCCAAAGACCCCCGAGTTCGATTACACTCAGCTTCGAGGGCACACCATTTGCAGCATAACTTAAGTCAAGAAGGGTTATCTGCCCACCAAAGACCCCCGAGTTCGATTACACTCAGCTTCGAGGCACACCATTTGCAGCATAACTTAAGTCAAGAAGAGTTATCTGGCAACCAAAGACCTTCGAGTTCGACTACGCTCAGCTCCAAGGCATATCATTTGCAGTATAGCTTAAGTCAAGAAGGGCTATCTGCCAAAGACTCCCGAGTTCGATTACACTCAACTTCGAAGTCATATCATTTATCATGGCAAGAAGGGTTATTTGTCAATAAAATTGTCGAGTTCGACTCTATTCAGCTCAACGATACCTCAATCACTACTGTTCGGCTGCAATTAAGGTTTTCAAATCGAGAAGAAGACATGGGTCAGCCGTGACTTAGTGACAATCAACCGTTTCTCCGGCAGTATAGCTTAAGACGAGAAAAGCATTCGTCAACGAAGACCTTCGAGGTTCGATTTTATTCAGCTCGAGGGCTTATCAACCACAGGGTGGAGTCAAGAAACTACTTTCAAGTCGAATTTTCCAACCCAGATCTTTAAACCGAGAAAGATCGAGGCGGACTACAACAAGAAGCCACATCCCGATTCAAATCCCGAACGGCGGCTTCATTCTATATCATTTCGAGATGGACTCGACTTCGCGACGGAGAAGCCATCCGCAACCCAAGACGACAGGGAGTTATTTTTCAACTCCGCAGAACGAAAATTTGTGTCTTTTTATCTTTGTCCTATTTTTCGTTCCACGAAAAAGGACAAAGAGGGGCAGCTGTAGACACTAATTTTCATCGACATATTTTTTTTCCTTTATATGTACATACATACATATTTATATATATATACATATTTTAAACTACATACATAATATTGTTTTTAATAGTTTTTAAAATTATATAATGTATAGTTTTTAAAAAAAAAAACGTTTTAAAAACATATATATAATATATAATTTTTAAAATCATTTTGAAAAATATATATATTTTTGAAAACATTTTTGAAAACACATATATTATAGTTTTGAAAACATTTTGAAAACATTTATATATTATATAGTTTTTAAAACGTTTTTGAAAACTTATATAATATTTTTGAAAACATGTTGAAAACATTCGTATATTATATAGTTTAAGAAAAAACATTTTGAAAATTTATATATTATATGTTTTTGAAAATATTTATGTATATATATATGTTATTATTATTATTATTATTATTATTATTTTTCATTTTTAACTTATTTTGATTTTGTTTCAGGTCCAAAATGAGGTCCAAATAAGTCAGAACGGGCCTGAACCAGCCCAGCAAAGGTATGGTCTGAGAACCCTAGGCACACATGTCAACAGGCGGCGCACAGGGGAAAACCCTAAGACCTCATTTGTGCAGCCAGATCTGGACCGTTGGATCTGACCCAATCCAACGGTCGAGATCAAATCAAGGAATATTCCAGAAGTCACACCAACAATCACAGACGGCGCGAGATTTCCGGCCGAGATCCCCGGGACTGACCCATCCCGGGTGACGGTCACAACAGCCACGATCGCCCCTATTTCGGAGCTAACAGGCCACCGGTGGGGTATAAAGACCCCACCAAGCCATTACCAAAAGGGGGGGAGAGGATCATCGGTACCACAACAGATCATCCACAGAAAACCAGAATCATCAAACCACATGACCAGCACGGTCAAAAACATCAACCATCACTGAACTCACGAGAGAACCAACAAGCATAGTAACAAAACAAGACTCCATCGAGTCAACAGCACATAAAAAACCTGAAAACAACCCAAAATAACCAAACACAAAACCAACCAAACCCAAGTCATACACACAACAGCCATCACACAAACGACACCATCAAATCGACCAACAACAAAGGTCGAACACAACCAAATACACAAAGCCGAAGTACCAACCAAAGGCCTCGGAGAAGCTATCGGAAAACCAGAAGGCGTAGGTTTTAAGGTAAAAAAAAAAAAAAACCCGAACTTTAGGCGTAGATCTACGCCGTTTGGGGTCCCTTTAGGGGAAACAGGCTTCGGATCGGGGTTTAGAGTGACAGGGCGAGTGTTTCGGGCTAAATGGTTTTTTTTCGGCCACCGCCGGCGGTGGCCGGCATGGTGGCCGGTGCGACGGGGAGACCACCGGAGCTGTGGCCTGATATCTCCCATTTGAGAGAGTTTGAGAGACGAGAGAGAGCGCAGAGAGAGAGCGCAGAGAGACCAAATGAGAGAAATGAAGAAATAGAACCCTATTTTCGGCTTTAAATACGAAATTCAAAACGGCGTCGTTTTACGAAGGATTGATCTGCAAATAGAAGATTTTTAAATCCTCTCCGCAGTCCCTGGTATTTTGGATCGGTTTTCATTTTGGTCACTATTTGTAATTTTGACCCCGAATTTGCAATTTAATCAATTTGGTCCCTATTTATATTTTTTTTATATTCTGTGAATTGGTCCCCTAACTTTTTATTTGTTCTTTTGCAGTTCATTTTCTAATTCATTAAGCTCAATTTGTTCCAATTTGATCCTAAATTTTATCTTTATTTTTTATTTTACTTTTTAAATATTTTTTTTAAATTTAACCTTTTATTATTATTTTATTATTTCTTTCTTTCATTATTATTATTATTTTTTATATATTTTTTTTTTATTTATTAGCATTTTGTTTTCGCTTTTTTATCTGACGTATTTTGTTTCAGTCATGATTTCAGCCGATCAAATGGTAAGTAATTCGGATCGAATGAATTTAATTTTAATTTAAATTCTAATTTTCGCAATTAAAGACAACCGACAAATTAATTGGTACCGAAAGGGCGGTTCAAGGGTGCTAATCCTTCCTTGACCGTAACCGACTCCCGAACCCGACACGTTTCTGGTACGACGCAGATCAGGTAAGATGGTATCCGGCCCACCTAAAATTCGTTTTAAAGTGGTCGGTGGCGACTCCAATTCATTTAATCCAAGTCGAAGCCCAATTCCGGGGCACAACCGAAAGACGGTTGCGACAGCTTGCATCCATGATTTAAAATTGGCTATACCCACCTTTGAATGTGTATTTCTAGTGATATAGGACTGATTTGAAGGCTAAAATAAAATTTTAAGTATAGTTGAGAGATCAATTGAAATATTATTTATTAATTTTAATGTGTCATCATATCATATATCACAACTAATATATTCATTTTATAATAAAATTTAATGTCATATCAAATATATATATATATATATATATATATATATATATATATATCCTACAAACATAGTTATTCTAACTTAAATTTTTTTAAATTTTTTTAATATTTATCCAAATTTCAAATAATGGAGGTATACTCAGTTAAGGCCCAAATTTATTCATAAAAAGAGCACGCTGATATCCACCAATTTTCTTAAAGCGCTAGGGCTTCAGCCACTAATATTCCCTAATTTTCCAATGCATCAATTCCGCCAATCAGATTCGCACCCGCCGCCGCCATCGCCAACCCAACAAGGCCGTGATCGTCCTCCAAGGCAGATACGCCGGACGCAAAGCCGTGATAGTGAAATCCTTAGACGAAGGCACACGTGACCGCCCCTACGGCCACTGTTTGGTTGCAGGGATAAAGAAGTACCCGAGCAAGGTTATCCGCAAGGACCCCGCCAAGAAAACAGCCAAGAAGTCGCGCGTCAAGTGCTTCATCAAGCTCGTGAATTACCAGCATTTGATGCCCACGCGCTACACCCTCGACGTGGACTTGAAAGACGCGGTTACCGCCGATGCCATTCAAACCAAGCACAAGAAAGTAGCCGCTAGTAAGGCCACCAAGGAGAGGTTTCAAGAGAGGTTCAAGACAGGAAAGAACAGGTGGTTCTTTACAAAGCTTAGGTTTTGAAGGGTTTCCTCTCCTTCGATAAAAGAATTGTTTGGGCTTAATGTAGTTTATTAGCATTTTGGATTTGAATCATAAAAATGTACTCGAAAATTGTTTCTTTGAATTTATTTACCATGAACTTGTTGCTTGGATTGAAATTAACCTTTGGAGTCTGGATCAGCTGGTGGTTTACTGATGTTGTGATTTATCATAGGATTCCTATGCTTTGTGTCATGACTCATGATAAAACAAAAGAATTTTTTTTTATTAATATAGGATATTTATAAGGCATATTATATGTTCTAAGATTTTTTCCTATTTAATAATAAAAATTCAAATATTTTTATAGTTTCCTCTCTTATATTTAAACCTAAAACCTTTGAAATAACAACTATTCTTTAAATATAGGTGTTTTGGTTGGTAATGTAACAAAGAATTCTAAGATTTTTCCCTATTTAACAATAAAAATTCAAATAATTTTATGGTTTCCTCTCATAATTTGAACATAAAACCTCTCAAATAACAACTATTCTTTAAATCGAGGTGTTTTGGTTGGTACTGTAACAAATTTTTTTAAGGATTTAACTGATTTTTTAAATATATTTTTATAATTTATTAAGATAATATATAAAATTAAATAATTATATCAATAAAATTAGCAACTTATATAAAAAATAATGATGTCAGTAGTAGTTAATCATCATGTCAACATATTTATCAGTCAATATCGATAAGAAATAGAAATCCTATTCTCATATGTAATGGAATAAATGAGAGGTATGATAATATACTGTCCCAACGCTAAGTTGAGAGCAACTTCCATAGAAAACCTCCGGCAAATATGAATTGCCCACCGTGGGACTCGATCCCACGATCACAAAGTTAAAAGCCTTACGTTCTACCAACTGAGCTGGACGGACAATTACTCAATATCGATAAGAAAGATGTATTTAATTGAATAATTTGAGGGTTGTTTAGATTTTCTTTCCTTTCTTATATGTTTGATGGGACTTCCTTCTTGACTCATGTTCTTTAAGCAGATTTGATGCAATTTTATGGGGCGCTGATCATTCCACCTCTTTTGGTTAGATAAACTCTCTGCCTGCAAGATTGGTGTTTGTATTCTTCACCCAAAATTACTTTTGATCTTATAAGCGTTTTTAAAATTAATAATATTATTTTATTTCAATTTTAAAAATAAGTAATTATATTTATATTTATAACTAGTTTTTGAGTTAACCAAGGGATTACTTGGAGATTTTTCATGTTGTATATTGGCTTTGCTAATCTCAGGCAACCTTGGTTATCCTGTGTTCTTTTTGACATGGATGTTAATACTGGATAGCTACTAATCATCCCAAATGACTAACCGAGTTGAGTGCTTAAGCCGTGCAGGCACGGACTTTGTTTGAGTTGTACGGTGCGGAGGTTAGGGTTCAAATAAGCTAGTATAGTTGGAGTCCCATAACGTCAGAGTTTATTACCAATTATTTATTTCTTTGGTTCTCCATGACAACCCGTGAGTTTCCTAAACGCCACTCACCGCTAGTGGCGGTGGTGCTCACACGCGACGTGCATGACGCGGAACCAAGCAGTGTCAGAACAATAGTCGTGTGACTTGACTCACATTGTCCGCACATCCTACCAGAACCTCTTCTGGCTGCTGCTTTAACATTTATTGGCAACCCCATCGGTTGATACTGACAGCACTCACTCTCATGCATTGATTTCGAAGCCATTGTCGGAGGCCATGAACGGTGCACGACTACGATACAAGGAAGAACGTACAATTTTACGGTAGGATATGATTTTTTTTTTAAAATTCTAGAAAACAAAGAGTTTATAATTTTGGAGAAGATAAAAATATATTATTAATAAAATATATTATTAATAAAAATATAAATATATATATATATATAAATATGTAATAATCTAAAATTTAAGAAAAATGATTGTTTTTAATCATTCGCTCGATCTATCTTTACTCCAATCAGTCTTTACTAGGCCAGCACGTGTGGCCCAGTCATTTATTCTAAATTTATTTTTGTTTAATATTAAAATTTAAATAATAAAAATTTAAAAACAAATGAGACTAGTGTAAAGATTTCATAAAATTTTTGGAGTTTAAAATGACAAGAAATAAAAGTTAATAGAACAAAGTATTATTTATCTTTTCATCAAGTGCAAGCTCTGCTTAAGGTTCACTCATCCCACCAGAACCTTTATGGCTGCTGCATTTGCATTTATTAGCAATCTCATCGGTTGAGACCGACAGGGGGTAGTTGGGCACTCATATGCATTGATAAAATAAGCCCTTATAGGAGGCAATGAACGATGCATAGCTCCAATCAGTCTTCACTAGGCCACCACGTGTGGCCCTATCATATTCTAAATTTCAGTAATTAATTTTTCATTAATACTAAAATTTAAATAAAACATTATTATCAATAATAATAAATATCAAATTAAATTATAAATTTTAAAACAAAAAATTAATGCAAACTTTAATAAAAATTAAAATAAAATAAAATAAAATAAAAATTAAAAGACTTGAAATATTATTTTTTATTAAAAGATCAGATACTATTCATTTGGTTAAAGTGATGTTGACACATATAATTATATTAGTTGATAGTTTTTTAATAATTAAATGATCATTTAAGAAGCATTTATAAAAAAAATAGGTGTCAAGTTGAGAAAGATAAGTAAGAGTTAACGTGAATATGATGTATTTGACTTTTTTCTAAAATAATTGTTATTTTAAAATAAAATATATAATTCTTATAAATATGAAGATATTCTTAATAAAAAAAATATTAGATGCTAAATTGAAAAAAGGAATATGTAAATGTTGGTTGTTAAAGACTAAAGAGTATACTAAAGCTTTTTATGTACCGTGTACTTCAATTATTTTTGTTTATCAGGTGATCTTCCATGTCAATGGATATGGTTATCTGCTTATATTTGTAATCAAATTCAAATATATACTATTTAGGTATGATTATTTGGGGGAGTTTAATTAAAATATTTTTAGTTATTTGAGTTGATGAATGTTTTTTATTATTTAAATTTTATTTGAATTTTTTGTCTTAAGTTAAGTTTATGAAATTCAAATTGAGTCGAATTGTTCGATTTTCTGTTTAAATTTAATTATAAATATTTACCATATCTGCTATTTGATTTGAATTTAAATGATTTTTTATAACTATACGTGATACATATATATACTTTTTCATTTTTCTCATATATGATATATGCATAGTTGAGAGATTCGAACTTATAAAAGTAATCTACTCGTTACTAAAAATTTTGAGTTATTTGAGTTTTATTATATAACTTAATTCAAGTTTAAATTTTTTTTTATCGATTGAATTTATAAAATTATAAGTTGAACCAGATTTAATTTTTTAACATCAAATCAACTCAAAAATGTTTTTAAAATTGAAAAATATGGATTTCATTAAATTATTTAAAGATTTGAAACAAAATATATAGTAATGGAGATATTTATTATATGCTGTGTGTAAAAAATATATTTTAAGTATCTACCAATGATATTGTTAAAGTCGGCGAAATCATCAGGACTTTGATTTGTGTTATAAAATATCACAACTAAAAAATAACTATACAAAAATTATCTATAAAATAATTAAATTTAAATAACAAAATGAATATGTAAAAATATGAATAAAATAACGCAACTTACCAAATTATCACTACACGATCCAATAAATAAAGTAAAAACTCTTATATCCAAGATCGTAAAAGGTTTTTTTCTAATTCAATGTGGAATGTGTTTGTGGTGGGATGTGATAGTTATAGAATTTTTAAAATTCGAACTCCTTGAATGTATATGTTACAATAAATATTTTCAAAATTTTAAATTTTAATTAAAATATGCACGACGAAACGCGTTAAAATTCTATATTTAAAATAATTTTGTTAATCAGTTACGACATCTTTTTGTTTTAAGCATTTTTAATCTTTATAATTCATCAAATGATTTTAGTATTTAAAAAAAATGTTATTCTTTAAAAATTTTAGATTTGAATAATTATATTTATAAGGTATATATGTAGTATCAGTTGGTTAAAAAATTTCTAAGAAAACATTATCTTATAATAACATTCAGACTTTTAAAAAAAATATTTAATGTTATATTACAACCATACTATATTTAACATAATTTCGTTGTATTTATGTTTATACAAAATTTAATCATATATTTGTTGTAGTTTCTAGTGTTAAGTTAGCATAGACAATTTTTCTTTTTTTTCTGGTTGAAGGAAAGATTGAGTTCCATAACAGTCTTTCAATTATCACTTATGAAGGAATTTACGGTGACCACGAAGCCAAATTTGAATCCAAAGAAGATATGCTTCGGTCAAAAAACAGAATAAAAGAATCCAACAAACTGAGACAAATAAAGACAAGCAGTACTTATACCAGTATTTTGCGAAACTTGGATTCTTTTGTTATTTGAGAAAATATATAAATAAATATATATATATTATTCTTATTATATATAATCTTACATTATTTAAACAAAACACAAAATTAATTACGTGACAAGCCTAAAACTCATGAAAACACCAGCAGCACTGAGCGCTAGTTGAACATCATGTTTCAACCAGACGCTTGCTTATTTTGGCTAAAGCTACCCGATGCATCAAAATGTCATCTGGCAGTCGCCTGCTTAAGTTGAAAAGAGAGTGGGAGTGAAGCGTGCAACAGGAACACACTTGAGACTTTTAGCCCTGGGTACCGCCAGTCCGGGCCGCTCAGTCATGTCAACACAACCACCGCCACCGCCAGTATTCGGCGTCTCCGCCACCACCTTCCAGTCAAAACATTGAATCATGGCTGCCAGAGTGGCAGACAACTCCTCCCTAGCTAAAGAACTACCGGGGCAGCCCCTTCTCCCTGTACCGAAAGGCAACAGCTGAAAATGGAGGCCTTTAACATCTATATCGGATTTCAAGAACCTCTCGGGCTGAAACTTTAGCGGATCCTCCCAGAGCTTAGGATCTCTGGCTATGCTCCACACGTTTACGAACAACAAGGACTCGGCTGGGATTGTGTATCCATTGAGATTGAATTCCTTAATGGCTTTTCTGTTGACCATTGGGACTGGAGGGTGAAGCCGAAATGTTTCTTTAATAACGGCTTGGAGGTAGGGGAGACGAGGAGTGTCGGATTCTTGAACCAACCTGGTTTTCCCTACAACTTCATCGATCTCTTTCTGAGTTTTTCTTAGAACCTCTGGGTTGTTGATTATCTCTGCAAATGCCCAGTCTATGGCGCTTGCAGTTGTATCTGTACCGGCTGTTAGAAAATCCTACATAAATAACTCCCGCATTTGTCATAGTAGCCAGGATTTCAAGACTTACATAAACTTCTCAATTTTTTAAAAATAATTTAAATATTAAAATGAAAAATCAGTTATAGGATTAGATAATTCATCAATAACGATAACAATTTGTTAAGGAACATAATAAATTGATCTTAAAATAGTTACGAATAAATCAAATAATTTCATAATAAAATAAAAATAAATCAAATAAAATGGATTTTTAACTTGCTTTGAAAATTTAAAAAAAAATTACCAATATAACAAATATAAATTAATAGAAAAATAATAGTGTGTTTTAAATGATTTGTGGAATCAAATAACTTGACCACAATGCACAAAAAGGAGTTATTTATATTATAAACGTATTTTGTATGAAGGGAATATTTAGTAAAAAAACTTAAGGAAAAGTCAAAATCCCTTGTAAGGATACTAACCAAGAGTAAGGCCTTGATATGATTTCTGGTTATCTGAACCTCTGCATGAGCATCTTCAAAGGCATCAAGCAACAAATCCAGAAAATCCTTAACTTCATCATCACCTCGCTTCTTGTTTTTTCTTGCATGCTCTCTGTCACTTATAATTTTTTCCAGCAATGCATCAAATCTTCTATGAATATCCTCAAATCTCTTTCTGAATCCCTGCAGATCCAAATGTTTACAGAGCCATATAACATCCGAGACATTGAATTCCCCGAAGATCTTAGTCACTTCTCGCGCCAAGTTTCGCACCCCATCAGCTTCGTCTCCTGTTCCTGAGCACCTAATGCCGAGCATCATTTGAGATATAACGTTGTTGGTCAGTTTCAACAGCTCTTCAGTTACGTTCACTGTTTCACCTGTTTTAGACTTTTCGAGGAGAAAGTTTATGAAATGATGCAGTTCCTTGGTTCGAACAGGGAGGAACTGGGTTAGGTTTCGGCTCCCTAACAGCTCGAAACTGCTCAACTTTTTGATGAATTTCCAGTAAGGTCCCATGGGTGAGAAAGAAAAGGAAGAGTTGTAAGTAACGTGTTCGATAGCAGCTGTGAGTGGACGGGCGGAGAAGGTGAGCTCGTGAGTTTTGAGGAGCTCTTTGGCCACCTCTGGGGTAGAAGCCACAATGCACTCGTTGGACCCAATGCGGAAATACATCAAAGGGCCGTAGATGGAGGCGAGCTTGTGGAAAGTTTGATGAATGGAGGGGCTGAGGAGATGGAGGTGGCCGACGACCGGTAACGCAATTGGACCTGGAGGAAGCTTGGAACGTTTTCTGATGTAAACCATTGTTTTAATTATAAGAAATGAAACTAAGAACAAGGTGGCATACCAGAAGAATTGGAAATTCATGGCCGATTGAACAACCATTTTGAAACCGCGAAAGGAAATGATTTTCTATGAACAGAACTGCGGAAAACGCGAGGCTCTACTTCCAAACAAAGAGCACTGTCCAGCTTGTATTTATTTCAAAAGCATATACCTACCCACGCTCAGTATAGAACTGTATAAAGCCATACGCCAGTTTTTTTTTTTTTTTTTATCATTATCCGTATCTGATTTTATTAATCTTGGATCAGGAACTATAAAAGTGAAATTCGTCCTCAATTTCGTATTTTATATTTATAAATATCAATATTCGAATTTATAATCTTATTTAAAAAATTTAGTATATGATTCTATTACACCAATTAATTAATACAAAGAGAGTATGTATATTTATGATAGAAAGTTATCGATAATGTAGGTACATACCTATTCTAAAATTTGAATATTTTTTATTTTATTATTCATATTACTAATGATAATTATTCTAAAATTTTATTTGTATATATCTACTTCTTTTAAATGTTATATATTATTAATAATTAATATATATGTATTTACCTTCAAAATTATTTCTAGATACAACTAAAAATTATTGCATGCTAAAAGTTACTAAACCAACTACTAAAAGTTAATTATTTCCAAAAAAAAATATTCAACAATTACTAATACTAATCCAAACTAATTTTTTTATCATAATGGAGTAAGTACAAATATTATTAGTGAACAAAGTGAAGAGAAGTCAGAGTGATACAATATATATAACCGATATTTATGAATATTTTCATTGTCGTCTTTGTTCACCTTAAAAAGCTAAGGTGACCGTGAGACCACGTAGTCTGGTGCTAAAATAATAAAAATATAAACTTTGTAGAAGCTTACACGTCTTGAAATCTAAAAATATAGTAAACTTGTAAAAAAATATTTTTTTTCTAATTATACTTTTCTAACTATATAATTATAAGCAATTACTTTTAAAATAATTAAAAATCCATAATACAATAAAAGAATCTTTAAACTCTTTAGAAAGTAGAAAATATGAAAATAATCTAAGATATTTTCAGAAGTTAGTTTCAATTAATTTTATTTTGAATATTTTTTTAATATTTAGTATTTTTATTTTTGATATTAAATTTTTATTCTCTTTAATTTTGTTTAAATATTACATAAAAATAATTTTTTTTAGATTACCATTATATAAAAATAATTAAATCATTGAACTTCTTAAAAAATCATTGTTATTATCAATTTTTTAAAAGGATTAAATATTGCTTATTTTGAGACGTAATCATTCATATGTGGACAATCACATATCATCATCATAGACTAATACATTAATATCATCAAGTTAACAACTACAACATTAACCTAATAGACTTCCACATCAACACAATAAAATTGGTGCTAGTTAAAAAATTAATTTAATATAATTTATTAATTTTGATAGTCAAATAAGGTTTTTTTTTTGTTGAAAAAAAGGAAAAAGGTTGTTTAGTTATCTGTCTTGTCTACTATCAGCAGCTCCTCAGCTTCCTTGGGGTAATCTTTCAGGAAGTAGGTGTCTTCATGGTGCTTCCACATTTGTTTGGTGATAAAATCCGCCACGCGGTTTGCTTCTCTAAGTATGTGTTTCAGATCAACTTCCCAGTTTCTCTCAAGTAATTTTTCAATATGCTGCAAAATCGTAAGTTTCATGTGCTCGATCGATTTGGTTTTGATTAGGTTAATGGCTTCTTTGATGTCTGATTCAAGGATCACTTTTCTTTCTCCCCTTATCCAAGCAATTCTCAAGCCTTCGTGGATACCCCAAAGTTCTGCTTCCAAACTAGAGCATATCCTTATTTTTTTTCCCGAAACCCCAAAGCCAATTACCATTACAGTCTCTAGCAACAACCCCACAACTAGTATCTCCAGTGTTATGTCTTCTGGTTCTATCTGTGTTAACTTTACAGTAGTTAATCGCTGGTTTTTGCCATCTGATTATGGTTTTATCTCTGTTTTGCAAACTCGTAGGATTGGTAGGAATCAGCTTCTGTAACTCATGGGTCAGCCTTTTAGCTTGTTGGATAATCAATTCCCTCTCAATCATCTCTGGGTCAAAAATGGTATGGTTTCTTCTCTTCCATATGGACCATAGAACCGAGCTGAAAAAATTAGACCATTCCTCAATTCTTGGCGATGGGGACTGGGTTGTTTGAAGATTTTCCACGAACTAAGTCTTTATGTTGTAGTTTAGGAAATTGTTTATCTTATGGGGTTCTATCAAATCCACCCATATTGATAACGTTTTGGGACAGTATCTTAGAATATGGTTGATATCTTCTGATTCATAGTTGCACATAGGTCAGCTTGCTTCCAACGACATATGTCTTCTCACTCTTTCTGAATTAGTTAACAGACTATTTCTTGCAATCAACCATAGATATGTCTTGACTCTGGGAATGTTTTTGTGGCTTGCACTAATTTCCCAAATCTTATCATCCATATTGTTGTTGAATTTAGCTATCCACTTGTAAGCAGATCTAACAGTGAAAATCTTTTTCTCAGATAGGATCCAGCCCGGTGAATCTTCAATATTTTCTTCTACTGGGGGAGGTGTGGCTCTTAGCATGTTAATAGCTTGATTTGGCAAAAGCTTTGTAAGTTTTCCCCAATCCCAGTTTCTGTGTTGGTTGATCATGTCCTTGACTTTAGTCTTATCATTTTCCACATCCAATGGTCTATTGCAGAGTATAGATAAAGGGCCTTTGTTGTCAACCCATATATCATGCCAAAATTTAACACGGTTGCCATTTCCAATATTCTAGCATATATTTTGCTTGAATTTAGTCCTTACTGAACATATGTGCTTCCATAGTGGTGATCCTCCTCTTTTTTCCAGCTCTTCAGGGAGAATATATTTCATTTTGTACTTGCTTCTCATAACCTGCACCCATAAAAGATTAGTACGATTAGTTAGTTTGTAGGCTAGTTTAAAAATAAATGCCTCATTTTGATATCTTAGATTTTTTAAGCCTTGACCCCCTCCTTTGATCGGTTTACAGAGGTTCTCCCAGTTCACAAGATGAGTTCCCTTCTTATCATTTGTATTTCCCCAAATAAAGTTTCTTGTATGTCTTTCAAGCTCCTTGCATACTCTTTCGGGCAGTAAAATCGATTGCATGGTGTATGAAGGGATCGAATTTAGGACAGATTTGGCGAGGATAATTCTTCCAGTTAAAGATAATGATATGGCTTTCCATCCTGAGAGCTTATCCTTGACTTTTTGAGTGATGCTGTTGTAAGTGCATCTATTGATCCTGTTAAGAATAAGAGGAACACCCATGTACTTTCCAAGATTCTCTATTTCTTTGATGCCAATTAAATTTGTTAAAATATTCCTGGTTTGCGTATTGACATTCTTCGAGTAATAGATATTGGATTTTTGAAGTCCAATTAACTGCCCAGAGCTAATACAGAAATTGTTGAGAGTGTTTTGGATTACACCAATTTGGTTGATGTCAGCTTCTGCAAAAAAGAAGATATCATCTGCAAAAAAAAGGTGAGATAAGTTAGGTCCATTTCTAGAAAGTTTAATAGGTTTCCACTTTCCTTGATTAACCAATAAGGCTATTTCTTGCGCCAATCTTTCCATAAAGATGACAAACAGATATGGCGAGATAAGATCCCCCTGTCTAATGCCCTAAGAAGGCTGAAACAGTTCAGTAAGTTCACCATTCCAATTAATTTGAAAAGACATTGAAGTAATACAATTCATAATGGCCACGATGATTTTATTAGGCAGACCCATCTTCTCCATGCTTTCTTTTATAAATGACCAATCTAATCTGTCGTATGCTTTTTCCAGATCTAACTTAATGGCCAACCAACCTTTTTTTCCTTTTTTTTCATAGAATGTATCACTTCTTGAGCTAAAACAATATTGTCAGTAATAACTCTTCTCGGGATGAAGCTCGTTTGGCTATTGGAAATCATAGTAGGGAGAATAGACTTGAGTCTGTTGACAATGACTTTCATAATAATTTTGTAAGTCACTTGGGAAAGACTAATAGGTCTAAACTGGTTAATTCTCTCGGGTTTGTCAACCTTAGGTAGAAGAACTAGACTAGTTCTATCAAGGTCTTCAACAATCTGACCACCATTAAGATAATGTTTGACTAACGAGCAAACTTTTCCCCCAACAATATCCTAATTTTTCTGATAGAAAATAGCATGGAAACCATCAACACCTGGCGCTTTGAGAGGACCCATACTGAACAGGGCTTCTTTTATTTCAATATTTTCAAACGGTCTATTCAGCCAGTTCCATTGATCCTGGTTCAAACTAGGAAAAGGCCTATTATTTTCAAGAGATTGTCTGACTAACGGGTCCCTAGTGTACAGATTCTCATAGAAATCCTTAACATGATTTTTGAGCAAATCTTGATCTTCACACCATGCATCAGAGTCAGTTTTGAGGGCAGTTATAAGTTTTCTTCTGCCTTTTGTGATCGTATAGGAATTGAAGTTTTTGGTGTTTTTGTCTCCATAATTGATCCATTTGCATTTCGCCATTTGAGCCTATAGTAGTTCTTCTTGTCTTAAAATGGTGTCGAGTTCAGCTTTGAGATCTGATTCGAGAGCTGTCAAAAATTCAGAATTATATCTACGTAAAGCTTTATCAATACCCTTTAATCTAGCAAGGATTATTTTCTTTTTTTGATTGATGATACCAAAATTTCTTTGTTCCAAGTTTTAATGCTCTGCATGATTTGGTTGATACTATCCATAAGACTATCCTTTTTTCCCATTCATCTTTAAGAAACTGACCAAATTCAGGGTGATCTAACCAGGCTGCCACAAATCTAAACGGTTTATTCTTATGACCATTTGAGCTGTTAAAAGTACAGAGCAAAATAGGACAGTGATCAGAACCAATTCTGTCAAGGTGATGAACTCTGTGTCTGTGAATAGGTCAAGCCACTTCATATTCATAATGCACCTATCAAGCCGTTGCCAAAGGTTACCTCGCCTCCAAGTAAAGTCATCCCCTTGGTAATTAAATTCTATCAATTCATTATTAAAAATGAAATCCTGGAAGTTTTTACTCACTCATTTGTAGTGATAACTTGATAGGGAAGCG